ATATTAACAAATGGGAAATTGTCTCATCTATTCAGCTACTTGGCTTCAATATAGGTCAGCTAAGAAAGGACATCCTAAATGCAGGAGTAACACAAACAGCAATAGCATTTAGGATGACTCTGAAATCATTTCAGCAAACTTGGCCAACTAGAAAAGCCATCGTCACTCAGCACTTAACCATGCCACCCATTCCAGGGGACCCACGTTGGTGATATGAGCACAGGCAGCATCCCTGCCTCACAGGAGAAAAGTGCCAAGCCAAGACCAAGGCATGTCTTAAGAATCAGTAGCCCAGGTTGTTTGAAAAAACAGAAAATCTGATTCCAGAAATCTCAAAAGAGATAAAGAGCCTTTCACCAGTACTTTAAGAGCTTGGTGCTCAAGACCTGGCCTGTATAATGTAGCAATTATCATCTCCATTTTCACAGAAGAAAGTGATGTTCAGAGTTCTCCTAACTGGCTTATCATTCAGAAAGTCAGCACAGAAGAGTGGCAAAGACCATGACTTTCATATTAGACTCAGTTCGAGTCCTGTTTCATTATCGCTTATCAGCTGTTAGAGTTTGGACATGTTACTTGATTTCTCTGTGCCCTTGTTTTTCTCTCCATAGTATGTAGGTAATGATGAAACCAACTTAAAGAGTTTTTTTTTAGGGAGCAAATGAGTTAGCATATGTAAAACCCCTAGAATGGTGCCTGGCACGTAATAAGCACCAGATAAGTATTTGCTATTATTAGTATCAGTCAAAGTTATAAGTTACAGAAACCCAACTCAAACTTAAGCAAAAAATCAAAAAAAGAAAATACCAGCACCCATAAAAAAAATATCATTGGAATTCTGTCTTTTTCCATACCTCTCTGCTTAGCTTCATTTCCAGATAGCTTCTGAAACTTGCCACCTGGAGCATGAGAGGGCATCTTACCCAAAACTCCAATTACTATTCCAGAGTGCTTTCCAATTGGCCTGGCCTGAGTCATGGATCCAACACCTGGGCTTGTGAGGAGATGAGAGTGGGAATAGAATCAGTCCACCCATCATGTGGCCCAACTGGATCACACTGAATGGGAGAGAGGATGTTATGCAAAAGAAGAAAGCTGGACATACAAAAACAAAAGGTTCTACAATGAGTAAGATGGAGAATCTGGAATTGAATTCAGGTGTGTCTTCTTCCTATTTGATGGTCATTTGATCACACCACTCTCCTCTGCACATTTTCTTTGTCGTTATTATCCTCATCACCATAACCATAGTGTAATCAAAAAATTTTTTTTCTGGAAAATTTTTCAACAACTGGTGTTATTTTACCAAGAGGCAAGCCACCACACAGGTGACTGAGTAGAAAAGAAAGTAAGTGCCTTGCACTGTACTTCAAG